CTGAACCGCAGCACACCCGACACTTCGCTTCACTTCTCCCGTGGTCGAGGCTCGACCAAGCACGACCGGCACTCGACGGATTCGACACCGCGACACCACCGACCGCCGCTGTCAACCGCTAGCCAGCTGACAGGCACAAGCTCGACGAGTCGCGCGTGCCAAAGCACGGGTGATTGACCGGGTTAGACGCGTCAACGTGGATCAAGGTCCGCAGGAGGGAAGAGGGGGAGGAACGACCCGGTCGCACGTATACGACGGCTGAACGCACGAATCTCGAAAACGAACGGAGTACGAGAAGAAACGAACGAGCAAGCGACCGAGACCCACCACCGCGTAGCTGTATAGACGGGACGTCTAGAGACGGGCCGCAAGGTTAACCAGCCGCCGCGCGCGGATAGGGTCGATAGGGGTTTCCCCGCCGTCGCCGCGTCCACGCGCCGTCGAAAGGAAGGCCGTTGAGGCCGCTCGCTGGCGTCTCGTCTCTCGTCGCGCCTATAGCGCGGTTTTACTACTCGTTTGCTGGCAACATCGCGGCGACTACCGGTCGGTGGCACGACGTCATCGTCACGACGACAGCGATCTGTGTGACGCCCTTCGCGCGCACCACCTTTCGTGCTCTCTTTCTTTCTCTCTCTCTCTCTGTCTCGCTCCTGGAGGAGTTTCCACGCCGCGGCGTCCTCCACGTACCGCTTATCGGGTGTGCGGGCGCGCGAATGCCGCCGCGGAGAGAGCGATAAGGGATCGATCACGCCGCCACGACGGCGCTCTCGCACGGTCGTCCGCCGAACTGACGAGCCACCCTGAGAACTGCGGGCTCACCGAACTCGCGGCCATCCCCTCTCGCGCCACCAACCCCCTTTGCCTACCCTTCCTCCGTATTCTGCCCGACTATATCCTACCACGCTTCTTCCCTCCTTGCTTTCCTTGCGACTACACCCTCATTCTATCCCCCTCCCCCTCGTTATCCTAGGTACCCTTTTCCCTCGTTCGCCGCGAAGGGGCGCTTCGTTTATCCCTCCTCTATATTCCCGCTCTATCGCGATCGTCCCGTCTTTCCCTTCCTTCTTCCTTTCTACTGGGATCGAGAATCCCTCCCCGCCGACAGTGAGTAGAAAGAGGCTCGATCGGGTCCGCCGCACCACCTCACATTCTGACTTTATTCTGTCCGCACAGTGTGCTGGTATGGTACTAACGGTAAAAGAAATGTTCCGGATGAAATCTTGCAACTTTATAATTGCTTAGTAAATTAAGTAAACAATAAAACATCGATGAAAGAAACTACTTAAGCGAATGCGAAACTTGTTACGATTCGCGTACCGATGTATTAGTATGATATATTTTTTTCTTTTATTTGCGAATAAATAAGTCATATAAAAGGATGTCGTCAAGTACATATTACAAACTGCTATACTCCTCGCGCTTCAACTATGGCTCAAACGTATTATAAATTAATAAATATTTAATTTTTAATGGGCCGTTACAATTAACAAAATTTCAACTAGACAAAAGTCAAATCAGAATATGAGAAATATCAGAAAGAAGATGTCAGTATATAAAACTATCTGTAAAAACTATTTTGTTCTGTAACAAAAGAGAGAGGGAGAGAGCCTGTGATGTTTTCGTCGCGAAAGCTTAAGTAAAACGAAAAACGACGTAATAGCCTTTCTTTTGACTCTCTACAAATTTTCCTTGTTTTTTTTTGCTTTTACAACACGTAGTTATGTCGTATATTAGAATACATATTTAAAGAGAGAAAAGTAATTTAACAAGATAAAAAATATTAATTTACATATTTCTATATCGTGAAAACTGTCAATTACTCTGATCCAGAAACATTACTGTTTGAGATGTCTTTTATCGAACGATTCCTCTCGTTGGTCATTTTCATTAATACTTACGCAAGTGACACATAAAATATGTTTCTAATAAACTTGCGTAAAATTCCGTCTGTCCAGACACCTATGTGTGCAGCTTCCACTTCGCTCCGCTTGCAATTCTTACCTCGCGACAATTTAGTCTCTTCTCTCCGATGCGGGGGGGGGAAGGTTAAAGAACTGGTTCTTTGAAGTACGATTCCCGATAATTCGAAATCGCTCCCACGAGACGATATTTTCTCTCCTCTCGAATCCCATCGACGTCCTGGCGCTCTTAATCCGCGCGCTTTTTTATCTCTTTCTATCGTGATATGGACCCAAGAACCGCCCAGTAGATCGTCCCGGAATCGCTCTCGTCGCGACGATAACGGGGATCGCTACATTGAATCTTAATACAATTACCGATTGATATGGTTGGCCTCGTTCCCTCCCGTTGCGAAATCACTTGACACGAGAGCAAGTTGCGACACTTTATTTTCCTAATGGAGAGGCCTCTTAATTGGCATCTTGACAGAAAAACACATGCGACAATATTAGATGAATGAATGTACGTCGATGTCGCATTAAATTGACAAACTGAAATGTCATAAACGCTCTTTAACATCGCGTTATCTAACGGCGCGGGAGAATCAGCGAGCTTAACCTTTCGATATTATCACTTTCGCAGACCGATAACATTATTCTCCGCGGAACGTGCTAAGGTCAAGCTATTTTCGCGGTTGTAAGTTACCAATTTGGAGACTTGATAAAGTAATCCACCGGGAATCATATTTCGCGTGTCCCACGACCTGCGACATTCATTCTTTCCTTTAATCTCGATTTGACAGAAATAATTATAAGCTCGAGTTTTAATGGAAAAAAATTTCATAACGCGATGCACTCGCAAATCGCTTTAATGTTATTCAAAATGGCGCGGGCTCGCCTGTCGCGCCCCAATAAACGCCAGACTGATTTTTTCTATGTGTTGAGGCGCGATATTATCCAAACATAAAATATATTGTAGTCTCTCTCTCTCTCTCACTCTCTCCCTCTCCCTCTCTCTCTCTCTCTCTCTCTCTCTCTCTACTCTCATGTATGCGATAGCCTTGAATTGACGTTCGCGTGCATGCTCTCGACGTATCGTTACCGCCTGTCACGACGTTCTAATTTTTGTACCGTGGCAAAATGTATAGCGTACATGCTTGACAACAATAATACCTATAAATACACATAGAGCGTCCACTTTCCGTTTTCATGAATTTATTTAACGAATCTCGAGTAAAACAAGCGGCGATTCATACGCCATTAAATTCCGCGGCTCAACTGGCTTTCAATAAATACCAATATTTGCAAAAGGATCTCGATATAACATTAAAAATAAAATAAGATCTAAACATTAAAAATTTTTTTAAACTACGCGGTGATTCTGTCCCTCGATTCAACAACCTAACCGGATATTGATTATACGAAATCTTTAACGAATCCTCAAAAGGAAATCTAATAATAATATCGCATTCAATCTGCTACAAATATTTCGGGAGCGACGTGAATTCGGATATCGAAATTCGAATGTCATCTTAATACACGACCAAAGACACGTATTGATACATATTGACATGAATTAAAGACTTTTTCTTTTCTAAAGACGAAATCGAACAATAGGATTATTTGTACATATTACTCTCTTTTACAGATTGTGTTAATTAAATAAATGCATTAAATCGGTAAATATCTATGTAAAGATGCACTGCATATTTTTTTCTAAAAAAAGCGCGTGTGAGAGTTAATATTGGCCGACTGTTCGTTTACTGCATTACATCAGAGAGAGAGAGAAAGAGAGAGAGAGAGAGAGAGAGAGGGAGAGAGAGAGAAGTAATACTTAATTCTTTGCACGCATAAAATATTTCCGGAGCGTGCAAATTTTCCAAACTGCTTTTATATAAAATGCAGCTGTAGCGAAGGTGGGAATGTAGAATTGTTATTTCTTGGTTTGCCACTACAAACTGGCTTGCCAAATTAATGCGGTGCGCCGGATATAAACAGCGGAGAGAGTACAAGGCCGAGGAAAATGTTGGGCGATAATATCTGCATCGTAAAAAGGCCAGGCGTTTTATATAATGCCGAAAATATCATACGTATGCGCGAGAGCACGCACATGCACAAACGATGTAGAGTGGAAATTACAATCGATACGACGGTACCTAGAGAAAAAAATACGAGTATTATTTTTTGGTTCATCTTTCAACGGATATGGAAATTTCTATATAAGAACGGATTCTACCTTCGTTGAATGATGTATATCG